CCTAATTTGTCTTTTATATATATATATATTCAAGTCATTTTTTCCTATCCAAACACCATGTTATGTATGTGTATACATAATTATGTGCAAATAACAAAATATTAAATGTGGAAATGTACCTACAAATGAATATTTTACAAATGTGTATTTTATTTTCTACTTTTAGAAAAAAAAATTACTTTACATGCAGGTATTTTATATACACATACTATGCTTATTTTACTTTTAATTAACAAAGTTGGAAGGCAATACAGATAATTGGAGTTTTACTGTAGGGGGAAACTTGAATAATTAAAAATTTCATCAATTTATCCATTCTTTTTATTATTTAACACTGGAAGTTAATTTAGTAGTAATATTTGAGCCGTTCACAAGCCAAATTAATTAACTCCTTTAGTATATCCTTAGAATAATGGTTATTGTTCTTACATTTTTTGCATAAACAATGTTATATAATATATTAAAACTATGCTTTAATGTAATGATATATAAAAATATATTCCACAATCTTTGTTTAAATTTAAAATTTAAAAGAAATTTTAAAAAATAGAATATATTATCATTTCTGTACTTTTGTTTTGTGGAGTTAATTGATTTGGCAAATGAATGGTTCATTTTCATACTACAGTAGAGTCCCGAAAACTCAGCACTCGATAACCGGGCAGTCCGGATAACTCGGCCACACCCTGGCAGGGCGAAAAAACCCCTAGTTAGTTTTCTTTATGCCTCTTAAAGTATTTTTCTGAGGTCTGTGTTATCAGGTATATTACTGTACACTGTACTCATTAATTTTCATTTTCATGTAGTAAAGGCTCTATGCCTTCACAAAGGCTCTATGCCGTACTTTTCCTTTGTTTAAGGGTATTTGGGCAGTTTATTCTCTGTTGTATTTTCAAGCAAACAATACATACAAGTACAGTACAGTATTTTCTGAAGAAAAAGAATAAGTGCAAGTGTTTCACTCGTACTTATTCTTTTTTAACACCATTCCTGATAACCCGGCATTTTCACAAACTTGGCCACCCTTCGGCCCACATTAGGCAGAGTTTTCGGGACTCTACTGTACTAAAGTAAATATTAGAGAAAATATATGTCTAATATTTATTGAAATAATATATGCTGAGAAAATTTATTAGTCAAATTTATATATGATTCTACTTAAACTATTTTTTCTCACCTTCTGTAAAGAATACATGTGCACCACGATACATTTGTTGAGGACACTGAAAATCACCTATTAAACCTGCAATGGACTATAAATAAATTTTAAAAAGGAGATTATTTTTGTATGAAATTTTTAAAATTAATTTTAAAATATGTAATTTATTTTTTACCTTTTCGGTCGGAGTTATTAAATAAACAGCTTCCATACATGGCAGTGGTTGCCTCTTTTTATTTAAATCTTCAACAACTAAAATAGTTAGAAACAAAAATCTATACATATAAAATTTTCCTGTATAAATTTTGATTTTTTTTTATATAATGTGTCAAAATAACAGCTGTGCCATATTAAATTTCACACTGTATAATTCACATTTGCTATCAAATGATTAGTCTCTTGGGAGAAATTCCTGAGTTTCTGGATCTGCTTAAAACAACTATCTTTTTCTTTGACAGTTCAATTAACAGACTGACAAAATTTAAGTTTATTTGGCTGAAATAATTCATTATACTTATTCACCCAATAAAATTAATTTCATGAATTTTCTCCAGAGAGTAAGGAAAAAGAAGTATCTGGTATTAGTAAATTTCACTCATACACTTCAATGTAAAATTAACTAATGTGTCATTATTAATTCACAATATGTAAACAATTCCGATGAAAATTTTAATTAAACTTCAATTTGAAAAAATATGTAAACAAATAAAAATTTACTTGTAATTCCTTCTGATGCTATTTCATGCATTTTACAACAAGCAGATATCATTCTCATGCCTAATTGATCGACGACAAGAACTTTCCATTCGCCTTTCTTTTTGACAGCTTTAATCACGTCATTCATAATTTCTGAGGAGAACAAAAATTAATTATTTTAAGAATTTGTTATGACTGAAAATATTTAAAATTCTGTAACCTTTTAAAATTAAATTTAATATAAACAAAGACCATTTTAAGCATTTTTCAATGATAATTTTTTTCCTTTAAAGTAAAATAACACTTCATACATCTATAATAACTTAATCAATTTAAAAAAGTTAAAGTTTTACATTACAGTATTTTTAATTAAAAATAAATATTGTTGATTAATCTGAAGAGATTATTTTTATTGAATTTGATTTAAAATTATATAATTCAAAACAAATTTGAAGAAAATAATTTATTAGAATTCATAGAATAAGAAAAATTCATGATTAATAATAGTACTATGCTTCAAATAAATTAATTTAAATTCTATTTCTAGAATAATAAATTACATTTAAATCTTAATTACTATAAAAAATTAAATGATTTTGTATCACTGAAGTAAATCGTGTAAAAATATTTTAGATAAAGAACAAAATTACACTACTTCATTGTTTAAAGATAATTTTCTTATTGCCTAAATTAAAATTTATATAAATTATAGCTTAGATAAATATTTATTCTTATGACAATAGAAAAATCATAATTATCAATAACATTTTATCAAAGTTGGAGGATATTAATATTAAAAAAATTGTCCTCAATACAAATAATTTCACCAACAATAATTTACATCAAATACTAGAGGAAAAAAAAAATAAGATAAAGTTTTATTTGTTACAACATTTAAGATTGCTTCAATAGAATTAAAATTCTATATTTTAAGTATCATCATCTAGGGGCTATCCATTAATTACATAAAGTTTAAGTGGAGTTGGATGAAACATATCATTATACATGATGGGGAGGGGTGTCGAAACATTGTCTATATGGAGTTTTTTTAGTGATAGGAGGAGAAGTTTGTCAAAAATATATTGTACATAACAGGAAAGGAAGGGGTCAAAAGTGGTTCAAAAGCTGTTGACATAACAAATTGCCCTAATTTGTCTTTTATTTAAATAACAATAATTAATGAATGGCTCTAACATTTTAAATAATTTGAATTGATATTTGTTGAATATAATACTAAAAATATAAATATAACTAAAACTTACCAATGTTTTATTTAGATAAATTTTTATAATTTTAATTCAATATGAAAAAATATTTTAACAACTTTAAAAATTATCTAGCCCACTTATGATCAATGTCTCCTGTCCTTATTTTAGGTATTGTTAAAGAAAAAACCCACCGTTTATGAGAACTTAAGGACTTGTTACGTTGAAGAGAAGGAGTGCACATAAACTAGAGATTGACAATTGTTTTTTCAGATATTTATTGTAGCACAAATCTGTAAAATAAAATTCAGATTTGTGTTACAATAAGTATCTGAAAAACAATTGTCGCCCTCTAGCTTTTGTGCACTCCTCCTTGATGTAACAAATCCTTAGGTGAAGTAAGGTTCTTGTAAACATTTTTTTACTAGTCCATCTCCTTTTTTTTTTAGGGAAAGTTATTTCTCTATCACCTATTTAGTCTCAAATCAATAATGAAACTTTTAATTTATTTTATGGCACTTTTATCATAAACAGCGTGTGTGTTTAGGCACTTAAAAATAAACATGTGACATACATAAACGATAAATGCAACAAATTTTTGCAAAAAAAAATACATATAAAAAATTTTTTTAATAAATAAATAAATAGTTTTTGAATAATTTAAAATTCTATTTATTGATTTTCAGAAATTAGTTGCATTGCAATTTCATCTCTACAGCACTCAACTAAAGAATGCTTAACATGGACACAGTTGATGTATTTGACAGATGCCAATAAAATTGACTGATAGTTAGTTTTTGAATATTTCATTATTGATTTTGGACTAAAGACGACACCAGAAAATAATTCTCTCATAAATAGCAACTGATTTGACACTTTTTAAAATTCTAAAAATATATTTTAATACCTACAAGACTTTGAATTTAACTTGATATTGTAAAATTTTATCCAAACGACACATTAATTTATTTTATCTAAAATAGAGCGGCCATATTATTTATTGCCTGGACCAAAACGGTTTTTAAGAGCAAAACATGGGCCTAAAAATGTCTAAACTTGCATTATTTTTTAAGAATTATATATTGTACTATAAATTGGTTATGTTGCATCAGAAGACTTATAAGATGATTGTATTTAAAATTTTATTTTATTTTATTTTTGAGGATTAAGACAGGAGATATCCAGGACAGTTCTGGATAAACCAGGACATATGGTCACCTAATCTAAAAACTAAAAATAAAGAATGATGAACAACAGTTATAATTACTTTATATACATTTAATAAATTGAGTTATATATTAAAGAAAATTTTAAATTTATTTGATAAGTATTTCTAAATAGAATAGTATAAAGAAATACTTTATATAAGAAGCAAGTGGGAGAATAAAATGTATGACAATCTTTCTATCTGTAGCATCAGCTGCACTTGTCACATCAATGCAACATAATTCAATATATTTTTAGAAAACTTATTCTACATATTCTCTTTAAATGATAAACAAGATTATAGTTTCACTAGAATTAAAGTAACTCTCGACAAATAACTAAAGCCCATTTAATTTTACCACTATTTTAAATTATCTATTTTCCTTTTGTATTATTATTTCCTTTAATGCATTTGTAAATTAATAGTTTTATCCTTTAAGCTGTTGACCGATTCTTCTTGTTTGAAATTAATGAGAAAAATCATTTCTTTTAAGAGGCACTTATACCAAAAAAGTTCTTTTATTTTGTTAAAATTTATATTTTTAGAACTATTTTATTTCAACAAAATATGTTTTAAATTAATTACATAAATTTAATTAATGATTCAATATATTAAACTTAAACATTTCATTTAAATAACTTTACTAAAAAATAATATATTTTGTAGCTTAATATTGTCGACAAGGAAGCGTAAAAATTTAATTACATTCATTAATTTGACTAATTTTCTGATTAAACTGATACAGACAATTATACTGTATAAATGGATATATGAATAATTTTATCTGAAAAGTAAATTCATAAAAAAACTAATTTTAAACTAATCATGAGGGTTTTAAACAACCGAGACATTCTCTCTAAAATTTTGCTCTTTTGTAACAAGCAAGAGCAATTGATATACCACAAGTGACTACAAAGAAATGAAAAAATTTAGTACCCAGCATAAAATAAATGAAACATCAATGTTTTTTTTGATTATGTAATTTGAGTAGCCTCTTCAACTGAATAATTATAGTTATACTCAAAAGTAACAAGTGTAAACTAAAAGAAATTTTAACACCGGAGTAGATAAATTACCCAACTTCACTGCTTGTAACCGGTGTTCTTCTTCTCCAATGCAGAGGACTTTGCAAACATTTTCGAACCTAATGTGGTTCTTCTCAGGCGCTATGAAATTCCCTATATGAATTCAAATTTTCAGTCTAGAATTAACTGTTGCTTTGGAAAATCTTTCAGGAATGTTGTCACCTCTGCAAAGTCCTCTGCATTGGAGAAGAAGAACACCGGTTATAGGTGACAACGTTCCAGAAAGATTTTCCAAAGCAACAGTTAATTCTAGACTGGAAATTTGAATTCATATAGGGAATTCCATAGCACCATAAGAAGAACCACATTAGGTTTGAAAACATTTGCAAAATCCTCTGCATTGGAGAACAACAACACCGGTTACAGGCAGTGAAGTTGGGTAGTAACAAGTGTGTAGAGCATATTTCTTTTCAATAATTCAGGAATAATCTATCTTCTATAAAATATAGTTGTTAATAGATCAACAATGGAGTCAAAGTGAATCATTCTATAGCATAATTTGCCAAGTATATAATCAAATTATGTTCTGCAATATACTGAAGATTCTCTATCATAATGGGAAATTAAGTGCACATGCATAAATTATTTTAAAACTTGTATTTCTGTAAATCAATTAAATGTTGTTAATTTGATTTCCAAGATAAAACCATGACAAGCTGTATAAATAAATCAGGGCCATTGAAAGTGATCCCTTTTTGCTGTTTTTTGTTTTTTGAACAATAGAATGTTTCTTTATTAATAAATAGCAGTCTTAGAGATTTTATTTTTCGTTAGTAAAAATAACATTAATTTATACAGGCAAGAAGTACTATGGGCCACTAAGTTTTCTCCAAGCCCAGAGAAATTCCTGTTCTCCCTCAACCGACATGAGAAAAGCCATATCTACCTATTCAGAAATACAGTCAAAATATTAATTAAATAGTGAAAATATGAGTTTAAAAATACAGAATACTTATTGCTTCATAATACCCAAAAATCAGTTAACTGAGATAAACTTTTAAGATTATTTTGAGAGTGATTTAAAACTGATTTATGTTATTCCTAATTTAAGCATCTGGAACCTTAACTGTTTATTAATTATATGACAAGTTCAAAGACTTGTCATATCTGAGAGCCATTTCTGACTCTCTCCCATTTGTGCACAATGATGTACAGTACTTTTAGCAAACCCTCTCCTCTTTAATTACATGTACAATAGCTCACTGACCCCCTGACACTGAAGCAATGACTTAAAAAATTCTGCAAATATTTTCGTACGCCACTAACACCTGTAAAAAAAGTCCATGTAGAGATTGTAGACAATGCCTTACCCTTCCTTTCCCACTGTGTACAACGGTGTACTTTTCGAGATCCCCCTTAAACTGTACACGTAATTAATGGGCGGTCATTGAAGCTTCATAAAAACAGCGATAATACGATAACTGTTACATAAAAAAAACGCTCGAATCTATAATATAATGGAAAATGATTCGCCAGTCCGTTAGTATGACGTCATCAGTGACGACATTTTCGAATTCGATAAAGACAAATTGCCCGCCAAACCTGCCGATGATTAATAAAGGAAGATAATTTTGAAAAATAAACCCGCATAAATAATAAAGATACAGTCGAACCTCCAATAACGGACACCTCTAAAAGGAGACAACGTTTCTTTTCGAAATGTATACAAAACAAAAAAAAACATGACCATTGTTTGGAGGTTTTTTTTTTGTTTTGTTTACGTCAGTGGCCGTTATTCTGGGGTTTGACTGTATATAGAATATTAATACATTTTGAAATTAGCTTCACTTCCAAGTTTTTTAATCTGTAAATTAGGATTATTTTCATTTAAGTGAATGAAAAATGCTGAGAATAACGTTTGGATATACAGTATTATTTTTCGACTGAAACTTTTAGGATTCATTTGGCAATTTATTGACAAGACTATGCCTTGTTTATAAAATCGTACTGCCACCCGTTCTTACCAGCATAGAGGTATGAAGGAGTACTGTACAGTACATGTCGAGAGTTGATATTTGGCACAGAGTATTAGATGCCCAAATCATTTGCGAATAAAAAAAATCCAGACTTGTAGGTAGTCAGGAGACCGAGATCGAGTCAAAATAAAATACAAAATGGCGACCCTCTTCTACAAACAGGCAAAACAGCCACCTCACCCCACCGAAGTCAGGTAGGGGTACAGTGACCATATTTTTTTGGGTAAAATAAAGGACATATCGATGAAAATCAAAAAATACCTTATAAAATTCATAAGTTTATAACATTTATTACGAAAATAGTAGCATACAACAATGCATACATTAAAATTTCAAACAATCTGAATTATTACACATACACACATTGTAAAAATTTAAACAACATTAATTTTGATACTTTTCAGTAGATTTAATTTTTTTATAGCGCCGTTTCACGCTTTAAAGTCATAAAATTCCATACAGTTCATTTGAGAGTTGTATTTGATGGACATACATGCTTCTAATGTGCTTAGTTTTAAATTAGTTTTTTTCATTCGTCCACATATTATTCACCAACGAAAATATTCGTTCGATGGGGGCATTAGATCCAGGGAGACAAAGAAAATTCTACGATTTTAGTTTTTACAAATGTTTTTGAAACAATTTCTTTTGATGTAAAATGTTTCAAAAATCTCAATCCACCTTTGATGGCAGGGCTAGTTATTCTGTCGCCATTCGTCGATCTTTTCGTTTGTGACATTTTTTTACACATAAAACTTCATCAAATAATTCACCATCAAGTATATTTACGGACCAATGATTCAAAATAAAGATATAGCTTTCCTCTACGTTCGCCCACAAAGGGACTTCGCATAATGTGACCCATTCAAACATCTCTATTTCAATAAAAAACATGTCCCAATTATTTAGATAATCTATGCACGTTTGATAAAATGTGTANATCTTACTTACAAACATTACCTCTTTATAATATTAGTATAGATAAAAATTTTTTAAAAATATTTTAATGTTTTATTTATTGTCATAAAACCACATTACATAATTTCATATTCCGTTAACCTAAAACATTTTAATACAATGAATATATACATGAATCACACTTATTGTATCATTTGTCACATAAAAATTTTTAATGTTTAAGTTTTTTTTATTGAAAAATCTGTTATGACATGATGATGTCACTGAATTATGTAATAGAGATTAACAGATTATATGGCAATTTCTATCAATCACTATGAAAGCTAATCTTGACATTTCTATTTTAACATATCAGAATAAAAGAAAACAAAATAGTAAAGACTATCTTTCATTTTTAATGCATTTTTCTTAATATTGAACACAAATTTCTCTATTACACAATGTATTGAGGATAACAAATATTATTATTAATGTATTAAATATGAAAAAATATATATATATATATATATTCAAGTCATTTTTTCCTATCCAAACACCATGTTATGTATGTGTATACATAATTATGTGCAAATAACAAAATATTAAATGTGGAAATGTACCTACAAATGAATATTTTACAAATGTGTATTTTATTTTCTACTTTTAGAAAAAAAAATTACTTTACATGCAGGTATTTTATATACACATACTATGCTTATTTTACTTTTAATTAACAAAGTTGGAAGGCAATACAGATAATTGGAGTTTTACTGTAGGGGGAAACTTGAATAATTAAAAATTTCATCAATTTATCCATTCTTTTTATTATTTAACACTGGAAGTTAATTTAGTAGTAATATTTGAGCCGTTCACAAGCCAAATTAATTAACTCCTTTAGTATATCCTTAGAATAATGGTTATTGTTCTTACATTTTTTGCATAAACAATGTTATATAATATATTAAAACTATGCTTTAATGTAATGATATATAAAAATATATTCCACAATCTTTGTTTAAATTTAAAATTTAAAAGAAATTTTAAAAAATAGAATATATTATCATTTCTGTACTTTTGTTTTGTGGAGTTAATTGATTTGGCAAATGAATGGTTCATTTTCATACTACAGTAGAGTCCCGAAAACTCAGCACTCGATAACCGGGCAGTCCGGATAACTCGGCCACACCCTGGCAGGGCGAAAAAACCCCTAGTTAGTTTTCTTTATGCCTCTTAAAGTATTTTTCTGAGGTCTGTGTTATCAGGTATATTACTGTACACTGTACTCATTAATTTTCATTTTCATGTAGTAAAGGCTCTATGCCTTCACAAAGGCTCTATGCCGTACTTTTCCTTTGTTTAAGGGTATTTGGGCAGTTTATTCTCTGTTGTATTTTCAAGCAAACAATACATACAAGTACAGTACAGTATTTTCTGAAGAAAAAGAATAAGTGCAAGTGTTTCACTCGTACTTATTCTTTTTTAACACCATTCCTGATAACCCGGCATTTTCACAAACTTGGCCACCCTTCGGCCCACATTAGGCAGAGTTTTCGGGACTCTACTGTACTAAAGTAAATATTAGAGAAAATATATGTCTAATATTTATTGAAATAATATATGCTGAGAAAATTTATTAGTCAAATTTATATATGATTCTACTTAAACTATTTTTTCTCACCTTCTGTAAAGAATACATGTGCACCACGATACATTTGTTGAGGACACTGAAAATCACCTATTAAACCTGCAATGGACTATAAATAAATTTTAAAAAGGAGATTATTTTTGTATGAAATTTTTAAAATTAATTTTAAAATATGTAATTTATTTTTTACCTTTTCGGTCGGAGTTATTAAATAAACAGCTTCCATACATGGCAGTGGTTGCCTCTTTTTATTTAAATCTTCAACAACTAAAATAGTTAGAAACAAAAATCTATACATATAAAATTTTCCTGTATAAATTTTGATTTTTTTTTATATAATGTGTCAAAATAACAGCTGTGCCATATTAAATTTCACACTGTATAATTCACATTTGCTATCAAATGATTAGTCTCTTGGGAGAAATTCCTGAGTTTCTGGATCTGCTTAAAACAACTATCTTTTTCTTTGACAGTTCAATTAACAGACTGACAAAATTTAAGTTTATTTGGCTGAAATAATTCATTATACTTATTCACCCAATAAAATTAATTTCATGAATTTTCTCCAGAGAGTAAGGAAAAAGAAGTATCTGGTATTAGTAAATTTCACTCATACACTTCAATGTAAAATTAACTAATGTGTCATTATTAATTCACAATATGTAAACAATTCCGATGAAAATTTTAATTAAACTTCAATTTGAAAAAATATGTAAACAAATAAAAATTTACTTGTAATTCCTTCTGATGCTATTTCATGCATTTTACAACAAGCAGATATCATTCTCATGCCTAATTGATCGACGACAAGAACTTTCCATTCGCCTTTCTTTTTGACAGCTTTAATCACGTCATTCATAATTTCTGAGGAGAACAAAAATTAATTATTTTAAGAATTTGTTATGACTGAAAATATTTAAAATTCTGTAACCTTTTAAAATTAAATTTAATATAAACAAAGACCATTTTAAGCATTTTTCAATGATAATTTTTTTCCTTTAAAGTAAAATAACACTTCATACATCTATAATAACTTAATCAATTTAAAAAAGTTAAAGTTTTACATTACAGTATTTTTAATTAAAAATAAATATTGTTGATTAATCTGAAGAGATTATTTTTATTGAATTTGATTTAAAATTATATAATTCAAAACAAATTTGAAGAAAATAATTTATTAGAATTCATAGAATAAGAAAAATTCATGATTAATAATAGTACTATGCTTCAAATAAATTAATTTAAATTCTATTTCTAGAATAATAAATTACATTTAAATCTTAATTACTATAAAAAATTAAATGATTTTGTATCACTGAAGTAAATCGTGTAAAAATATTTTAGATAAAGAACAAAATTACACTACTTCATTGTTTAAAGATAATTTTCTTATTGCCTAAATTAAAATTTATATAAATTATAGCTTAGATAAATATTTATTCTTATGACAATAGAAAAATCATAATTATCAATAACATTTTATCAAAGTTGGAGGATATTAATATTAAAAAAATTGTCCTCAATACAAATAATTTCACCAACAATAATTTACATCAAATACTAGAGGAAAAAAAAAATAAGATAAAGTTTTATTTGTTACAACATTTAAGATTGCTTCAATAGAATTAAAATTCTATATTTTAAGTATCATCATCTAGGGGCTATCCATTAATTACATAAAGTTTAAGTGGAGTTGGATGAAACATATCATTATACATGATGGGGAGGGGTGTCGAAACATTGTCTATATGGAGTTTTTTTAGTGATAGGAGGAGAAGTTTGTCAAAAATATATTGTACATAACAGGAAAGGAAGGGGTCAAAAGTGGTTCAAAAGCTGTTGACATAACAAATTGCCCTAATTTGTCTTTTATTTAAATAACAATAATTAATGAATGGCTCTAACATTTTAAATAATTTGAATTGATATTTGTTGAATATAATACTAAAAATATAAATATAACTAAAACTTACCAATGTTTTATTTAGATAAATTTTTATAATTTTAATTCAATATGAAAAAATATTTTAACAACTTTAAAAATTATCTAGCCCACTTATGATCAATGTCTCCTGTCCTTATTTTAGGTATTGTTAAAGAAAAAACCCACCGTTTATGAGAACTTAAGGACTTGTTACGTTGAAGAGAAGGAGTGCACATAAACTAGAGATTGACAATTGTTTTTTCAGATATTTATTGTAGCACAAATCTGTAAAATAAAATTCAGATTTGTGTTACAATAAGTATCTGAAAAACAATTGTCGCCCTCTAGCTTTTGTGCACTCCTCCTTGATGTAACAAATCCTTAGGTGAAGTAAGGTTCTTGTAAACATTTTTTTACTAGTCCATCTCCTTTTTTTTTTAGGGAAAGTTATTTCTCTATCACCTATTTAGTCTCAAATCAATAATGAAACTTTTAATTTATTTTATGGCACTTTTATCATAAACAGCGTGTGTGTTTAGGCACTTAAAAATAAACATGTGACATACATAAACGATAAATGCAACAAATTTTTGCAAAAAAAAATACATATAAAAAATTTTTTTAATAAATAAATAAATAGTTTTTGAATAATTTAAAATTCTATTTATTGATTTTCAGAAATTAGTTGCATTGCAATTTCATCTCTACAGCACTCAACTAAAGAATGCTTAACATGGACACAGTTGATGTATTTGACAGATGCCAATAAAATTGACTGATAGTTAGTTTTTGAATATTTCATTATTGATTTTGGACTAAAGACGACACCAGAAAATAATTCTCTCATAAATAGCAACTGATTTGACACTTTTTAAAATTCTAAAAATATATTTTAATACCTACAAGACTTTGAATTTAACTTGATATTGTAAAATTTTATCCAAACGACACATTAATTTATTTTATCTAAAATAGAGCGGCCATATTATTTATTGCCTGGACCAAAACGGTTTTTAAGAGCAAAACATGGGCCTAAAAATGTCTAAACTTGCATTATTTTTTAAGAATTATATATTGTACTATAAATTGGTTATGTTGCATCAGAAGACTTATAAGATGATTGTATTTAAAATTTTATTTTATTTTATTTTTGAGGATTAAGACAGGAGATATCCAGGACAGTTCTGGATAAACCAGGACATATGGTCACCTAATCTAAAAACTAAAAATAAAGAATGATGAACAACAGTTATAATTACTTTATATACATTTAATAAATTGAGTTATATATTAAAGAAAATTTTAAATTTATTTGATAAGTATTTCTAAATAGAATAGTATAAAGAAATACTTTATATAAGAAGCAAGTGGGAGAATAAAATGTATGACAATCTTTCTATCTGTAGCATCAGCTGCACTTGTCACATCAATGCAACATAATTCAATATATTTTTAGAAAACTTATTCTACATATTCTCTTTAAATGATAAACAAGATTATAGTTTCACTAGAATTAAAGTAACTCTCGACAAATAACTAAAGCCCATTTAATTTTACCACTATTTTAAATTATCTATTTTCCTTTTGTATTATTATTTCCTTTAATGCATTTGTAAATTAATAGTTTTATCCTTTAAGCTGTTGACCGATTCTTCTTGTTTGAAATTAATGAGAAAAATCATTTCTTTTAAGAGGCACTTATACCAAAAAAGTTCTTTTATTTTGTTAAAATTTATATTTTTAGAACTATTTTATTTCAACAAAATATGTTTTAAATTAATTACATAAATTTAATTAATGATTCAATATATTAAACTTAAACATTTCATTTAAATAACTTTACTAAAAAATAATATATTTTGTAGCTTAATATTGTCGACAAGGAAGCGTAAAAATTTAATTACATTCATTAATTTGACTAATTTTCTGATTAAACTGATACAGACAATTATACTGTATAAATGGATATATGAATAATTTTATCTGAAAAGTAAATTCATAAAAAAACTAATTTTAAACTAATCATGAGGGTTTTAAACAACCGAGACATTCTCTCTAAAATTTTGCTCTTTTGTAACAAGCAAGAGCAATTGATATACCACAAGTGACTACAAAGAAATGAAAAAATTTAGTACCCAGCATAAAATAAATGAAACATCAATGTTTTTTTTGATTATGTAATTTGAGTAGCCTCTTCAACTGAATAATTATAGTTATACTCAAAAGTAACAAGTGTAAACTAAAAGAAATTTTAACACCGGAGTAGATAAATTACCCAACTTCACTGCTTGTAACCGGTGTTCTTCTTCTCCAATGCAGAGGACTTTGCAAACATTTTCGAACCTAATGTGGTTCTTCTCAGGCGCTATGAAATTCCCTATATGAATTCAAATTTTCAGTCTAGAATTAACTGTTGCTTTGGAAAATCTTTCAGGAATGTTGTCACCTCTGCAAAGTCCTCTGCATTGGAGAAGAAGAACACCGGTTATAGGTGACAACGTTCCAGAAAGATTTTCCAAAGCAACAGTTAATTCTAGACTGGAAATTTGAATTCATATAGGGAATTCCATAGCACCATAAGAAGAACCACATTAGGTTTGAAAACATTTGCAAAATCCTCTGCATTGGAGAACAACAACACCGGTTACAGGCAGTGAAGTTGGGTAGTAACAAGTGTGTAGAGCATATTTCTTTTCAATAATTCAGGAATAATCTATCTTCTATAAAATATAGTTGTTAATAGATCAACAATGGAGTCAAAGTGAATCATTCTATAGCATAATTTGCCAAGTATATAATCAAATTATGTTCTGCAATATACTGAAGATTCTCTATCATAATGGGAAATTAAGTGCACATGCATAAATTATTTTAAAACTTGTATTTCTGTAAATCAATTAAATGTTGTTAATTTGATTTCCAAGATAAAACCATGACAAGCTGTATAAATAAATCAGGGCCATTGAAAGTGATCCCTTTTTGCTGTTTTTTGTTTTTTGAACAATAGAATGTTTCTTTATTAATAAATAGCAGTCTTAGAGATTTTATTTTTCGTTAGTAAAAATAACATTAATTTATACAGGCAAGAAGTACTATGGGCCACTAAGTTTTCTCCAAGCCCAGAGAAATTCCTGTTCTCCCTCAACCGACATGAGAAAAGCCATATCTACCTATTCAGAAATACAGTCAAAATATTAATTAAATAGTGAAAATATGAGTTTAAAAATACAGAATACTTATTGCTTCATAATACCCAAAAATCAGTTAACTGAGATAAACTTTTAAGATTATTTTGAGAGTGATTTAAAACTGATTTATGTTATTCCTAATTTAAGCATCTGGAACCTTAACTGTTTATTAATTATATGACAAGTTCAAAGACTTGTCATATCTGAGAGCCATTTCTGACTCTCTCCCATTTGTGCACAATGATGTACAGTACTTTTAGCAAACCCTCTCCTCTTTAATTACATGTACAATAGCTCACTGACCCCCTGACACTGAAGCAATGACTTAAAAAATTCTGCAAATATTTTCGTACGCCACTAACACCTGTAAAAAAAGTCCATGTAGAGATTGTAGACAATGCCTTACCCTTCCTTTCCCACTGTGTACAACGGTGTACTTTTCGAGATCCCCCTTAAACTGTACACGTAATTAATGGGCGGTCATTGAAGCTTCATAAAAACAGCGATAATACGATAACTGTTACATAAAAAAAACGCTCGAATCTATAATATAATGGAAAATGATTCGCCAGTCCGTTAGTATGACGTCATCAGTGACGACATTTTCGAATTCGATAAAGACAAATTGCCCGCCAAACCTGCCGATGATTAATAAAGGAAGATAATTTTGAAAAATAAACCCGCATAAATAATAAAGATACAGTCGAACCTCCAATAACGGACACCTCTAAAAGGAGACAACGTTTCTTTTC